TATATATATAAAATTTAAGTTAAATTTATATTGTTTTGTTTTTTAAGACAGGGTCTTGCCATGTAGTTCAGACTGACCTTAAACTCAGTGATCTTCTTGCCTCAGCCTACTGAGTGCTAGGAGTGCTGGGATTACAGGCATGCACCATCATGCCTGGTTTAAACTAAATTTTGAATCATTTCCCTGAAAGCAAAATGACTAAAAAAACTAGACAGCCTATAAAATGAAGGTCACTACTGCCTCCTTGTGGACATGACAGGATCAACTTTTTTTTTTTTTGGTGTAACTGGGGATTGAACTCCGGCCCTTGTGTGTAAGCTCAGCATTACTCTCTGCATTTTTAAGCATGTGCACTCTTTTTGGGCCACTGACCCCGTGGCCAGCCCCACTGTTTGGCCTGGGCACACCTACCAACTCCACCATTGTAACACCAGAATGGTACACATACATCCTTCAAATTCTTGGTGGCCTTTCAGATATGCATACCCTTGATGGCCTGGGCAGTTTCATGCATGTTCTTTTTCTTTTTCTTTTAATTATTTATGAATTTCTTTTTTGGACACAAGGACTCACTACGCAGTTCATCAGTTCAGACTCTTAGTGATCCTCCAGTGTCAGCCTTCCTAGCACGGGGCACCCTGTTCCACGGCTAGCACAGCATGCGGTATCAGGGGATTTAACTTAGGTCCTTGAGCTTTCCAGGCAGGTGCTTAGAGGGCCAAGCTATCTCCCCAGCCCTTCACGCATATTCTTAAAGTAAACGCGAAGATTTGAGCCTCTTGATTTGCATGATTTTGTAGGGTTTTCTGGGTTGAGAGAGTAGCACACCATTTTCACAGGTCATCCCAGGCTGCTCACATGAAGAGCAACCTTTTGTAAAGAAGTGGTATTTTCATCTAAGAACCATTACTGAAGCCCTGGTATGAAACAGTGAAATACAAAATCTCAAACTCTCAACAACACCCCCATAAAGTAGGTGTTACTGCATTATCAGGATATTACCTGAGGTGGTTTTGGTGTTGGCTGAAGAAACAAGGCTAGCGAGGTTAACAACCTCTCCGGAGGTAAAGATAAATGGAGCAGCCACAGTCACGGGGTTGCTCCCAGGGCTGGCTCTTTCCGAGTTAGGAGTGACCTGACTCTGCATCGCTTCCTGAAAATGAGACAGGACACTTTAAGGTCACAGCACTCACAGGAGTCATGTGCAGCTCCCAGCAGCGCTCCACAGAACAGAACCAGCTCTGCACATAACAGGGAGCTCCCAGTTCTCATTAATACTACTGTTTTTTCTTTCTTTTTTCTTTTTAAATCAACCCAGAGCAACAGAGATGTTAGATTGCTTTCCTATATTTGTGTCTGGTTGAGAAAAGGAAAGGTGTGTTATTTGCAAAAACTTCCCAGACAGTTCACTTCATCTTTCTAAATCTTGGCTCACTTGAAAAATGAGAGAACTGGTCTGAATAGCCTGAGAAGTAATCTGTGACATTCATATTCTATGATCTATTAGCCACAGTCAGTATGCTAGCTGGAGCTCCCTGCAGAGAACCTACGGATAAAAACATTCTCTAGAGGCCCATCTGAGCACTTGTTCCATTCTGCTGCTAAGAAATTCCTAGGGGAATTCAGCAGGCCAATAAGTGAGTACCAGATATTAAAGTCTACTTCCATATGCTTTACTTTTGTTTCCAAGAATATTTGCTCAATTCTGGTGAAAAGATGCTTCATTTTACTTTATTTTTTCTTTCAGGAGTGTTCTATAAACAAAATTACTACTTTAAAAAGTCCAAAGGGGGCTGGGGAGATGGCTCAGTAGAATAAGC